GTTCACCTCCGAGGTCATTTCCAGCCCAGTATTTTGGGGAGAAAACAGTGCGAGGACTTAAATTATTGGACATGTAAAATGAAGATACTCCCATGGCAAAGGGTGGCAAGGCTGCCAAGGAGTCTGGGTCCAAGGGGCCACCCCCATGGGTTCAAGTGATCCCCATCCAACCACGTGGGAGCCCGCGGTGCGGGCGGGCCAGCCCCACAGGGTGCCCGCCAACCAGAGCCAACAAGGACGAGAGCACACGGGCAGAAACCAGAGATAGGAGGGCAATTAATGCTGTCTTTATTTACACCACAAGAGTAACAAGTTGAAGGATGAGGTACAAAATACTGGACTCCGGGGGAAGCAGAAAGAGTCGGCTGTCGGAGGAGGACACCGTGCTTGGTGAAAATCCACCCACATGAAACAAAACAAGAATGAGAAAACCAAGAACAAAATCTCCAAGTCCACTGAGCAAAAGAAAGAACCATTGGAAGGTCCAGACAATCAGAAAACTGATGAAATTACAGAAGAAACAGGTCTTGGCTCCCCGCGCGGAACTCCCACGGGGCGCGGACAGGCATCAGGTGGGATGTGCTGTCGTTACAACTGTGTTTTCTACAACATGTCGGTAATAAGCTCTTGGGTGAATAGGGTCAGCCCCCCTTATATAGATATTATAGATATAGGTTTGTCACTCTCATCAATTGGAAAATGGCGCCTCCAGTACGGAGCACACACACCAAAAAACCAAACAAACAAACTGTCTGCTTTCTTTTTCTTTCAATAGGAGAATTTTAATCATGTCAGAGACAAAGTGAGCTGAGCTCAGAACAAGCTCTGCTTCATTACAAGGAAGAAATGGTTTCCTTTCGATGCAAAGTATAATTTTAAACCACAGTGCTCGCACAGTTCACGACTGCTTAGTTTAAAGTGAAATCTTAGCCATACATCATCTCAAAGTAATTAAAAAGTCAACACAGCTGTGCGGAAAAGGGGCTCATAGGGCTGCCCGGTTCTCCATTGGAATAAGCAGTCAGAGGGCCGGTGAGGGGGGCACACGCCTCGCCCCGTGCAAGGAAATAAAAAGAAATGAAACAAAAAATTCCTCCAAGTCAACCAGAGAGAGACAGGCAGTTCGCTGTGAATTCTGCAGTTTCCCGAAAACACTGTTTCCACATAAATACAATAAACTCTATTATTGGTATGTCACAAGTGCTAGATAAACTTTTTTTTCTTAATATGACAAATGTTTAAGTAGTCCTTTTTATTTTTCTTACAATAAAAAGTACAATTTCTTAAGAATAAGTTCAATAAGACGCAAACGTTCCCCCCCACTCTCCTTCAAGGTTTTGTTTTACAGAAAAATTTCCACCGTTTGTAACTGCAAATGTCATGAGAGGAGAACAGAAAGGCATTTTTCTTCTTCCCCAAAGCTGCCGAGTTTGGCGTGCAAAATCCGTATACAATATAAAGACATGCCGGCCAACAGTCCATGCAACCTCCAGATGTAGGAAACCTAAAAAAATATATCATATATATTTCTATTTATATATTTATATATGTATCAATGCCCAGAGAACACGTGGGCCCAAAAGTCTACAAAAAGAAGAATGGAATGAGCACGTGGCTGTGACCAGGGAAGAAGGAATGTTCTGATCAAAAATTAACAACAATCAACTCCACTGCTACTGCTGCAAAAACCAGACCCGCTTTTGTGTCAGACCAAGACAAAACGGTCCTTCCTCTGGAAACAGACTTGTAAAAGAAGTAAAGAAAAACTGAAACACTTTGACAAAGTGGCCCTTCGGAACCGGAGGGGCTGCCAGTCCCAGCCGGTCGGGCGCGGCCCCGGGACGGCCGCCTGCTGGTGGGGCTCGGGCGCAGCGCGGCGCAGCCGGAAAGCCAAGAGGGCAGGGTTGACACCACGCGTCCCGGCGGCGTCGTGGGGTTTCCCACAAAGGGATATAAAGTGCTCGCTTGCTGATCCCCGGCCAGTGCCCTCAAGGCCTTTGCAAAGGAAGAAAAAGGCTAGAGGTGCAGGGAGCCAAAAGGGGAGGTGTGAGGAGCCCTCCGGGACGCGGCGTCCCTGCCGACACGGGGCAGGCCCCCACGGTCTGCCCTGGATGGCCGGCCGTGCAGAGGGCTGAGTGTGTCTTCAAAGAAAAAAAAAGGCTACATGTCATGCTCTACGCACGTCTGTGAAGCTGGAGCGAGCTGACAATGAAGCACGCTCCCCCGGCCAGGCCTCTGCAGAAGATGACTCCGCTGAATGGGGTTGGAGGTGACCCCCACAATGATAACGTGACCACCAAGAGGGCCATGTTATCCCATCATCTGTACAAAACGTGAGATGTCTTCCTCCCCACGAGCCGTGGCTGGCAGTGGGAGAGCAGGCAGCAGGGGGTCCCCATGGCACTGTGCGGAGACCATGGAGGCCAGAAGAGCCAGCCGGCCACTGGGCCTTGCCATCACCCTCACCAGGTGGATCGAGCTGCCCCCACACACCAGCTCCTCCTGCCAAGTTGGGCTTCAGAGTGGCCAGTTGGGAGGAGATAGCCAAACATGTCCCAAGACCTTTCTGTCCTGCTCTCAAACCAGTGTCCTGGATCTGACCAACAGCATCCTGATGACCAAGCCGATCCAAGAAACTGGATTCATTTGGTCAAAAGTCGGCTGTGTCAGTATCTCTTTCAGAAGCTACCCTGTAAACGTTACCAAACTCAGACACCTGGCCTGGGGTTCCCTCCGTGGGCACGCTGGGCCTGAACTTCCTCCCACAAGTCTGAGCTCGATACACACTTTGGAATGAAATTGGCGGCTTCAAGTGCTGGGAAATAAGTTACCAGTAAAAAGTGATGGTCAGTTACTGTCCAAGAGAAAAAGAGCCAAGACTGGCTGCCCTCATCAGGATCTGTGCTGTCCCTGCAGGCTGGCAAGGCAGCAAGGGCCTCTGCAGCCACCGGCTCCAAAATCCAGGGCCCGCTGCTTCCAGCCAGGGTCTGGGCCATGTGGCTGCAGCAGAAAAACCAGGAATGGGGACCAGGCCCCACTCTGGCCCCATGCATTGCTGACATACTTAAAAGGTCTTTGGAAAACTGAAGCTAAAATTCTATCCTGACAACGTGGTCAGAGAAGTTTAAACACGAGTTTCATGATCGCCGATGGCCCGTGCTATCCGGCAAGGTACCCAGCTCGGCGCCATGTGCAATCCTCCCCACACCTGCTACGGAGGGGAACATAACCCACCCCCATCACACTACTGCTGTGGAGGGGACGAAAGCCCCTTCGCTTCTGGATACAGCTCCTATGACAGAACCAGGAAAGACACACGGTCAGGACCACCATGAAAAGACCTCAGACCCCTCTTCTCATTCGATGCTCACTTTGTGAAAATAAGCTCTGTGGCACAGTTCCGTGCACTGCAGAAAACTGCTCGCTGTACAAAAATAAACAAAAACGAAAACCATAAAAAACACCTTGAAAACAGTTAAAAAAAAAAAGTACAACCAAGAATTTAGAAAGGAAAAAGGTTGAGACATTATTACCATTCAGAAAACTGGTAAATAGTGAGAAAAAATGTAAAAGTCACAAAACAAGGCTTATTCAGGATCTCTTTGTGAAAAATTCATACAAAAATCAACAGCAAATTTATATTCTTTGCTATAAAAACTCATTAGGTACATATGTGCATGGAGGCTTGGCGCGGGTAGGAGTTCTCTTAGAAAATAATTAGAATGAAATACAAACGTGCAGGGTAGCTGCCCAGTGGCGAACGTGTTGGCGATCTGAAAGCCGTCCAATCTGGAGTTCAAAAATACACGAGTGTCCAACGAGATCCCTTTCCATAAGCACCTTGATATCTAAGTCACAAGTCATTCATTCGCCAGGGACCTTTACAATCTGCATTTATTATATATATATACTTTTTCTATAAATGCATTATAAATATTTTATCAAGATTTCATAAGAATCAAGTTTCTTAGCTTGGAATACATTGGAATATATATTATACATATATATATTTATTTATACCTAAAATTTAAGCAATACTTCATGCTACTTGCTTTTAATAAAAAGCATTCCGATCGTAACACTGAAAGTGTGCCCAGGACATGCTTCACAACCAAATGGAGATGCTCAATTATCATATGATGTACGAGAAAAGAACACTTTGGATTCATTTAAAATTTGTTGGACTTCAAAACCCCCAACAGTATTTGCCACTTTTTTGGAACTACCTCCATTTTTCTTCAACAGCAATAAAGCAAAAGGAGGGCTGCAGGACTGCAGCCCTCTGGAGCCGCCAGCTGCGGCCTGCGCCCGCTCTGAGCGCCGGGCCAGCACACAGCAGCCTCCTGCCCCTCGCAGGGCACTGTCAGGCCCGACCAGCCACAGGAAACCGTCCCACCCATTCCTGCTGTTTATTTTTTCTTAAGGCATTGTTCCTCAGACTTCAGAAACCCCAGCCACAAAAATCCATCAGAGCAATTAAAAAAAAAGGCACAAACTCGCATCTTCCATAGGCTTTGAGAAACCAAAGCCAGCCCTGCAGGCTCACATTTCTGTTTTGTCCAGTTTTTTTTCCTTAAATGCTCGTCCACTCTGTCCCCCACCCGGCTGCACCCCCCGCCGCACACGGCCCTGGTTCACAGAGGCAGGCAGAGCCGTAGAAAACGTCCTCTTTAAAAAAACATAAGCTACAAGATGAGTTGAGTGGTTTACACGGAGACTGTGGAATTGTGGGTAATAACCAAACTTTAAGCACCAGTTTTAATCAAGTTTGTTTTGTATTATTAGATCTTTGATTTTCTTTTCCTCGTGTCAACTGAATCGGGCAGCTCTGCCACGAGCCGCCGCAGGCTTCCTCCCTCCCGGCTTCCCTCGTGGGAGCCGAGGGCGGCCTGGCTTCCGTGCGCGTCCGTGTGTCCGCTCGGCCCGGCGTCTGTCCCGGGTTCCGCGCACTGCTGCCCCGCCCGGAGACCCGAGGGTCTGGGCAGCCAGAGGCTCCCCGGCGCCGCCCGAGCCCTGCCGTGCCTGGCGCCCTAAGAACGCCGTGGCAGGACGCAGAGTAACAGGAACTTTTCTTGGCGGAGCTTCAAGACAGAGACAAACAAACAAGAGACCCGCGGCTTCGGGAGAGGCTACAGGGGCGGCTCCTCTTCCATGGGCTCCTCGTCGGGTCTGCGGCGGCGCCCCAGGCGGAGGGGAAGAGGGTGTGAGGGGGGGGGGGGGGGGGGGGGAGAAAGAACCGATGGGAGGGTTAACGCAGCACCACTGGGCTTTCCCCCCACCTCTGCACCTCCTCCTTCCAGCAGGACCGCTGCCCCCACCCTGGGCCCCCACCCTGGGCCCCCGCCCGCCTCCCACTCCAGCTTCCCGCCCCCAGGGGTAAGTGTCACTGGGCCCACCAGCTCAGGAGTAAAGGTTCTTCAAGGGTTTCTAAGGGGCTGTCACACTGGACAGAGGTGGCCATGCTGGCAGGGCGCTAGAGTCGATGAGGACACCACCCTCCATCCCTCCCCCGGGGCTAGCCCTGGTGCGCTGGGCAGGGCGTGTGGAGAAGCCTCGTGCTTCAGACACAAGAGCAAAGGTGCAGGTCGTCCACAGGATGTGGCCCCATTCACAGACGTGCCGGCAGACCCGTGGCCTTGGCGGCCCCGAGGGAGTGCCCGCGGCCTTGGTGGCCCCCAGCGACCAGGGCAGTGCAGGGGCGCTCACCTCTTCTCGGCCGGCTTCACGCCCACGGACAGCGAGGCCATGGCGGTGACGGTCTCGGCCTCCTCGCTCTCGCACTTCTGGGCCTCGACCAGCGAGCGCCCCGCCGTGGAGGAGGGGCGCTGCAGGGAGCGCCAGTACTGGCCTGGCGGGGGAAGCGCTGTTACCGGAGCCGCAGAAGAGGCTCCCCGCGGCCCAGGGTCTCAAGCATGCCTTATCACGGGTGACTTGAAAAGCACCCCTCTTTCAGGAGGCAGAAGCCAGGAGCGGCCTGGTTTCAAACACACAAAGACCAGGACTCTCCAGAAAAGCTTCCACGTTGCGGGGCAATCAAGTCTGCCCTGAGGCAGGAGCTCCCTGGATGAAGCGGGGGTTCCCGCGGGGCCTGGCCCCTTCCTCACTGTGGGGCGGTTGTGAGTGGGGCCGCTCCCTGACTCTGGGCGCAGGCGGGCGCAGGAACACTGCTGCCCAGAGGCTGAGGGGGTCTCCCACCCAGACCCTCCGAGGCGAGGGGAAAGTGCAGGGAGAGCTGAGCACGGCCTTCAGTGCTTCCTTCCACGCAGGGGCTTCTCATCGGGAAGCCAGTGAGAAGGGCTCTGAGGCCAGGAGCTCAGTGCTGGCCAGAAAAGCACAGAAGAACAGAGGGCAGACCCCTGGTTTCCAGCCACCTACGAGACAGTCTCAGTGATTTGGGTCATCCTTAGACCTAAGACAAAGAGCTCTGTGATGAGGGCAGGGCACTGTCAGTTCACCCGAGACAAGGTGTGCCTGCTCTGGGCCAGTCCCCTTGGTCACCAGGACCTGCCGCTGGAGGGGAAGTGCAGGAAATGGGGGCCCTGCACCCTGCGTCGGGTCTCTGCAGGGCCCCGGGTTCTCTGAGCTGATTGAATGGGGATTCTCTGGTCCAGGGGACGAGACCAGACTCTAGGACACAGGTTCATATCCAGTCCCACCCCTGCTAGCTGGGGACCTGGAGCAAGTGACGTCACAAGACTCCTTGAGCCTCAATTCTTTTGACCTGTGACATGGAGCTGATGTTACTGTTCTAGTAGGTTGTGGGGAAATTAATGGGGGTGAAATGAGTCTCTACCAGCATGTCAAATGCTGGCTGAAAGCAAGGCCTTGTCACGCAGGCCTGGGGCAGCGGTGGCAGTGACATGGAGAGGGGCACAGGGGTGGGGACCTGTGGGACAGGAGTCCTGTGCCCTCCCTCTCGCCCGTCCCCCTCCCTCTCACACCCCCAGCAGGGCTTCCTTGCTGAGCACTCTGCCAGTGACTTACTGTGGATTTCAATGACCTTCTCCATGGACCGGACAGCGTTAGCATTGGGTCTCTGCTGCAAAACCTTTTCAGGAAGAGGATCAAGCTGGAAAAAAGTAAATAAATATATAGTGAATAGAAAGGATGTCAATATAATCCCCATGTGCGTTCAAGTGGGATGTTCAAAGTCAGTGTCTGTCTCTTGAGTGTATTTGCTAACAGAGAAGAGAAAATAACTTTAAAAAGCCAAATAACGTGGTTTTGGTCTTTATTATATGAACTTTTTGCAAAACTGTATTTCTTTTCTTTATGGTGTTTTTCCCAGGAGACCATCAGGCGTGTTTGTGGTTCCCACATGGCCAGGACGACGGGCAGTGTCCAGGAGCAGGCTGGAGGAGGACATCAGCATGGGGTGCACTGTTTTTACCGTGGCGTAACATTGGGGAAATAATGATTGCTTTCTGGAAATATCACTGTCACATCCCTGGTCTTATAAACAAGAATGCTTGAGTATCCCCTGTTCACGGTTTTCTTCCAATAACAGGAAAAAAGGTAACTGGAAGGAAATGAGCGGAATCTCTCACAGAGGGAACTATGTTCAGGGTTTTTCCTTAAGTGCTGTCAGCTGAAGATAACAAGGAATAGAGTGATGAGTCAGGCGAGGGCCATCGGGCAGACCAGGGCATCCACAACCTAACAACTAAGCACGGTGGGCTGAATAGATCATAAAAACTCAACAACAGTTAAAAAACTTTAAATAACTGGACCAGCCCACAAAACGGGGGGAGATCTGCTGGGGTCTGGAACAAAGCTGGAACCTGCCCAGAGAGGTCAGATATCCTGGGGACAGGCCCTGGCCGCGCAAGCCGGGGTTGGAATGACCGCAACCTCAGGGGTGAGCTAGCAGAGCAGGCACACACAGACAGCGTGCTCGCAAAGACTGGGTAAGGAAAGCTTTGTGCTCAGCCCCCTGAGAACCTGCCTGGTTCTAAACACTGCAAGTAGAGGGCTGCTACTTGCAGTGTCGGCCCCGTGATGCCGGGCGCCTGGCAGAGCAGCTGTCCATCCTCTTGTGAGGCACAACCCCCCAAACCAGGCCGCCTATTCGCGCTGCCAGCTCAGTTCCAAGAAGCAAGAGTTCCCGGTCAAAAATGTCATAGAGCACAGAAGTAAGCCAGTATGAACTTGGGTCAGGAGACACAAACCAGGTGCTAACAGCATTCTGCAGTACAAGGACGCAGGCTCCCTGGAGAAGTGGCTGGATCTAGGGCTGGGGGACCCTGCAGAGTAGAGAATAAGGAGGGGCTCAAAGCCAAGATGATGGGGCACCTCAGAGGGGCCCACACGGGGGCCAATCGGAAACGGATGCATTACATAGTACCAAATTATAACTCAGAGTATAAAACAAATACCCAGGAGTCCACACTGAAATAAGTAAGTGACTGGATAAATAAATAAATGGGGAGAAGAGAGACACCTTCCTGAAGAAGAATTTCAAATGACTTATGTGCACACCCCCCTCCACCAAGTGGAGCTTAACACCTCCCCCCCGTCCCCTCGAGTGTGAGCTGAGCTGCACATGGTGACTTCCATCCCAAGGGCACACATGCAGGAAAAGGGAACTCTATGGTGGAAAAACCTCAGAAACACCACTCTAACCAAGTGCTCACGGTCGGCTTCAGCACAGATGAGCCACACGGATGGCACCACCGGGGAGGAGGTGTTGGGAAGACACTTGACCTCGGGGCTGTTCCTCCTCAAACCCTTCCCCCAGCCCAGTCATGAGGGGAAAGTCAGACAAACATAGACGGAGGGACATGCTACAAAATACCTGACCGGCACTCCTCACAACTGTTGGAGTCATGAAAAACAAGGAGACTGAGAAACTGTCATGGCCCCGAGGAGACCAAGGAGACGCAGTGCCTGGTGTGCTCTGGGGTCCTGAATGGGACCCGGAACAGAAACAGGGCATCGTGAGAAGACGGGCGAGACCTCAGCACGTCTGGAGTGGAGTTAACAGTGACGTGCTGGGCTGGTTCCCAGGTGAGATGCACATCCCACTGACGGCAGATGGTTACAGCAGAGGGGACTGTCTGAGGGGCACACAGGAGTACGCGTGCTGGCTCTGTAACTTTCTGTAAATCTACAACCATCCAAAAATAAAAAGTCTATCAAAAAATGCAGATTTAGATCCTCAAAGATTGCAGTTATAAACTATAAAGTAAGCAAGTTTAACATGTATTAAAAATAAAAGATATTAGTGTATGATGAGAGAACCAGAGATTACTCAAACTGAGCTGCAAGACTTGAAAGAGAGCCAGACAGAACTTCTAGTGATGAAAACCCAACTGGAGAAATTAGAAACTCAACAAATCAGCAAAAGAGAAAGTTAGTAACCTGGCAGCAACGACTGAAGAAATGACCCTGAATGCAGCTCAGAGACGAGAGGAGCAGACAGAGAGAGAAGGCACCTGTTCCTTTATTCCTCTATTCTCATGACCCCATGAGAGCGGGGAGAGGATTATAAAGGTGCCAATGGCTGAGGGTTTTCCAGGATCAGGCAACGGCCCCAATCCTCAGTTCACGATGGGAATAAGATCCAAGCAGAAAGAATTAAAACAGAAACCCACCTCAGGCACATCAGAGTGAGACTGCAGAACATCAAAGACAAATGGAGAATTCTGAAAGCAGCTAGAGAAACACACAGTCTTCAAAGGAGCAGCCGTGAGCCAGGCAGACTGCTTCAGAGCAAAGGAAGCAAGGGGACAGGGGTGCAGTATCTTCAATGTGTCAGGAGAAAAGGATGGTCAGCCCAGACCTGTAAGGCCAGTGAGACTATCACCTAGGAATGAGGGTGAAATAATGACTTGAAAGGGGAATGCTATAGGATGTGCTTCAGGCAGAAAGAAAATGATCCTAGATCATGTCTCACAAAATTATCTGAGAAATGAGGAGTGAAGAGCAAAGAAAATGGCATAGATGCAGGAAAAGCCAAATAAATAGGCACCACATAAAACAAAAATAACGATGTCTAATCAGTGAAATTAAAGAAAAAAAGAGGGACAAGAAACACTAGTCAGTGATTGCACATGACCTGGGAGCGGCGCTGGGGCCGCCCGATTTAGCAAATGAACATACAGGACACCAGCTGCATTTAAACTTCTGATAAACAAGTAATTTTTTGGTGTAAGTATGTCCAACTGGGGGTCCTGTGTTGGACCTGCGACCCTACCCAGGGCCAGAGCAGCCCGGCCAAGGTGTGTGGGGAGGGGTGAGTCACTGACCACGTCGAGGGTGCATGTCAACATCTGCAAGGATCACCACTAACAACAGCAGTAGGGTGTGTCTCCTTCCACTCGGTAGAGGGAACAAATGGAATGTGGGGAACCCTCAGTTGTGTCAAGAGAAGGCAAGAAAAGAGAAAAAAGAAAGAGCTACCGAAAGGGGGGCAAAGTGCACAGAACAAGATGATAGACATGATTATGAACAAAACAAAACAGCACGTGAGCAAACCAACTGTACCGACCAAAGTTTCCACTGACAGCTAGTCTGCTGGACTGGATATAAAAAATAACAGTGCAATCCAGCCTCAGGCTGTCTGTAGAAGAAACATCTGCAACATAGGAGGAAGGCTGAAAGTCAAGGATGAAAAATGGTACATGTGGGGAAAAGGAGGCCAGGAACACCTTAAACATTTGTCATAACAGATTTAAGGGAAAACCTTAAAGAAGGTCATAAAGAAGGTCACTATAATGGCCGGCCCAGTGGCACAGCAGTTAAGTCTGCGCATTCTGCTTTGGCGGCCCGGGGTTTGCCGGTTCGGATCCCAGGCGCGGACCTACTCACCACTCATCTAAGCCATGCTGAGGCAGCGTCCCACATAGAAGAACAGGAAGGACCTACAACTGGGATATACAACTATGTACTGGGGCCTTGGGGAGAAAAAGAAAAAGAGGAAGAATGGCAAAAGATGTTAGCTCAGGGCCAATCTTCCTCAAAAAAAAAAAAAAAGTCACTCTATAATGATAAAAATTTCAATTCATCCAAAGGATATAATGATTTAAAATTTGTACATATTTAGTAAAATTGCTTTAAAACATATGAAGTAAAAATGTGTAGAACGTAAAGGAGATAAAGATAAATGTATCATCATAGTAGACTTTGATGTGTCTTTCTTAGATGGAGCAGAGAAGCAGACAGAAATCCATAAAGAAAACCAAAATGTGAACAGCAGCATTAGTGAGCTTGGTTTAATGGACATAAACAGAACTCTGTAAAGCAGACAGAGGAGACACGTCATCTGAAACACATGTGGAACGTCTATGCAGGCTGACCATGGACTAGCCCGTGAAGCAAGTCTCCACAAAGAACAGATGCCAAGCAGACAGCCTTCTCTCTCCACAATGCAATATTTAGGAATTGATAACGGGAACCACAAGCCCTTATGGTTGGAAACTAAAAAACACACCAATCATAGGTCAAAGAAAAAGTCATAACAGAAATTAGGAAATGCTTAGAACTAACAAATAATGAAAATGCTACATATCACAGTGTGTGCTGCAGCTGAGTGCTGTGCTGAGGACACTTATAACCTTAAATGCGAACATCAGAACATAAGACTGAAAAGAAAATACTCAATTTAAGAAGTGAACAAGAGAACAGAACAGTCTTAAAGAAAGAAGTAGAGAAAATACACAGAAAAGGGGCAGAAATAAATTTTGAAAAAAGAAAAAAGATACTGTAGCTGAAAGTTGATTCTTTGAAATGACTAATTAAATTGACAAGTTCTGGCAGGACTGATCAAGAAAACTACAGAGGAGTCACAAATAAACATAACAGGAATGAAAAGAGGGCCATGACTACAGGTACAGCAGAGATGGAAAAGATAATCAGAGAATACTGTTAACTTTCGTCAACAATCCTGAAAACTTGGCTGAAATGGACAAACTCCTGGTAAAATGTAACTTTCCAAAATTAATTGAAGAAACAAGAGAAAATGATTGAATCAGTTTTTCCCAAAGTATATCAGTATCTTCCCCAAGGAACCCCATGGCCAGAAGAGCCCTCCTAGTCAAGGAACAGATTATTATGAACCTCACTCACTCT